AAGCAAATTCCGAGAGCCCACGGGGGCTCGACATCAGTTGAAAATTAAAAAAGTTTTTCCCGTGTGACAATCGCACCAAAATTCCCATTTCCTACAGCAGAACAAGAAAGAAGTTATGGCAACAGTTATACTTCGTGCTCGCTAAGGCGTGATCAACTACCAACCATCATGGGACTATCCCGGCCTCGATTCCGAAAAACAAGAAAAGCAAGGGCACCCATGCAATCCAACGGGCCATCTCGATTCAACCCCCGAAGTAGCCTTGCGTAGAAAGTCGCGTGGTTGCAGAAAACGGTTCGTCACAACTTCCCTTCACCAAGACAGGCAGATCGCTATGCTTGCAGGGGGGCCCTGTATAGCTTTAGGAGTAGTGGTAGGTAGGTCATGACAGATAAAATATTTTTATTTTATTTTTTATTTTAAATAAGCTATATTCTTCGCTCAATTGCACTTTTCACTATCTACCTACTCCTAAGCCTATACAGGAGACCCCTCCAGGCATAGCTACCTCTCACAATTAAGGGGACGCATGTTACCCCGCCCCCTAATCGGCCGTGGTCAGGGAGTAGGGTGGGGACGCCGGTGGGGGGGGGGGGKGAAAGAATTTGACTGAAGAATATAGTCTAGTTGAAAAAAGAAAAAAAAAAAGCCATATCAGATATCGCACTGCCATTGCCCCTGTCATATAACCACCAGTTAGAGGTGGGCATCTTTTTTTGCTCCTCATACTGGACCCTACCCGCCTAATCTTTTTTTCGGCACCCGTACTAAATTCAGAAAATGGCAAAAGAAATATGTCTGACTTCCAATTGGAAGCACATTTTTCACGTACAAGCACATTTTCAACACTTTGAAAACTTATCACTCAAAGCTTTAGATACAGCACAACATATTCCCAAGGTGCCGCGTTATAAAAAAATGAAAAAATGCTTCAAAAGGAATTGTTACAAAAGATATTCCACACCGCTTGGTGACAATGAATGCAAATCAGAATTCCATGGCCATACTTGAAACCAGTACTTCCCCAACGTGCGGCTGTGCAAGGAGACCCGTTCATGCCGGCAGGTAGGAGGTTGCACTTTGGGGAAATACTGGTGGTTTAGAAAAGACAACTTGAACAAAAACAAAGAAGCCCGTCGGGTACAGGGAGTGCAGACCGTGCGTTTTTAACGATGCCTGCTGGCATGGGCCTGCAGGCTGACATGTGATGCGTGAGGCATCTTGTGTTTACCCCTTCAGAGGTCCCAGGGGCAAGATCCCACCCCCCACTGACCTGAATTCTTTGTCAGTGGGTGCAGATGATTATGCACGTAAATAGTCGAAACAAAGGTTCAGCGTGGTGATATACCCAATCTCTAATCCGTACTGTCCAGTGTATATGAAAGACTCGGAGATGGTGACCCTGGCCCTGTTCGCACCCATCATTGCGAAGTGAAACTCCCGGGCAAAATAGGTGCTTGCCACCATCACCATTTTGAATGTATCGTGGCCACCGCCAGGTCTGGACACATACAGAATGTGGACGAGGGGAGTGGTGCAGCAAGGTCCATAGAGGGAGCAGCAATCTACCAGAGCAGACCCGCAATTGGAGGGCGACCCACCGACTGTAGGCTACTTGCTCTCTTTTTCTTTTATTTTCGTTTTGAGCCTTATGGTCCCCGCTTTTTCCTATTCTGGGAGTCTTAGGCTATGCACGATTGGATTACCATTGAGGCCCAGATCCCCCCCTGCGCCCCCCAGAGGACTTTCCACACCCCTTCCCCTCCAACCCCCTTTCTTGGAGCCTTAGGCTATGCACGATTGGATTGGATTACCATCGATGCTCAGATCTTCCTGCGCCCCCCAGAGGACTTCCCAGAACCCTTCCCCGCCCAACCCCGTTTCAATTGTGGACATGCCTAGGTATGGGCAAGGCGACAGCTGATGACTAGGGTCCCAAAGCGGTATCCGGCGGCCCCAAAGGGGCTGAAGAGGGAGGTTGCTCGGGTTGGGGGGCTGTCTGGTGTGAATGCTGTGTGCTGACTGTAAAATCCTCAGCCGAAACCTGGTAATGGCCCTTTTTTTTTTTTTTTTTTTTTTTAAATTGCTCCAATCTATTCGTGGGGAGCGTCACGTGCTGGGAACCGGGCCCAGCGTCCCTTACAATGGAAAACCTGGTAATGGCCCTGGCAGCTTGTTCTGGAAACTTCCATATGAGACTCTGGGCCTGGTTCCCAGCACGAGCTACTCCCCACGAATAGATAGGAGCTTTGCCGCCCCCCCCCCAAGAAAAAGGCTGGTGCTCCACCAGCTTACTTCAGACAAATTCCCCAAAGCATTGCAGGCTCCACTGCAAGTCGGCACATTTTTCTCAACGCCCAGCTCAGGTCGCAGTGAATGCAGTTCTGAGTTCTCTGACGTTAACCACGTCTGACGGCTGCTTTGGCATTCTCAAAACCGAGACGTCGAAGCAAGCCCTGCTTTCCGAAGCTATGCAAAAAGATTGCAATAGCGACGAGGAGGCCGTTCAGTTGTCCTCCTTTAGAAAATGAGGGCCACGACCATATAAGGCTTTTTTTTTTCTTTTTTTTTATTATTTTAATAATGCTCCAGTCCATTTGTGGGGAGCAGCACGTGCTGGGAACCGGGGCCAGCGTCCCATATAGAGTTACACAAGTTATTTGAGAAACCGGGGCCATTACCCGGCTTCGGCTGAGAATCAATCTTTTTTTTTTTTTTTTTTTTTTTTGTTGTTGTTGTAGAGGCCAGTTACTAGGCACACATTGATCGCGTGGAGCGGTCAGCCATGGTTGTCCTGAGGGAACGACGCCACCTTCCCATCCCATCCTCACGTCAATACTCCTAGCGCACCCCCTATCTCTACTATCCTACCTCAGTGTGACCAGCACTCAGGACCATTACCCCTACTCGGTATCGAGGGGAACTCCGATTGAACAGTAGTGACAGGCACCAGCGCTAGCCATGACCCACCAATCGAACGAGCCTCGTCGCACTGGAACTCCGGATGCCAGGCCCAAGCAATCTCCTACTAGCCCCTACGTTGACCAACTGGTAACTCATGCCCTCTACTCGCCCACCACAGTCCTAGTTGATTTTAAGGCGAGGTACTTATCCTTGAGACGCCTATCATCATTATCAGTTAATCCAGACCAACCAGTAACTCGCGCCCTCTACTCGCCCACCACAGTCAAGTGATTTCGGACCCAAATTCTGACAGCGTCCATTTCGTGGCTATTGGCGATGCAGTGGAACGAAGTCGCATCCGCCATGCGTGGCGGAAGGCGAGTAGTGGAACGAGGCCCTAAGTGCAACCAGGCGCATACTCGCCAAACTTGGCGTATGGCAAGTAGTCCAACTAGGCCCTTTTTCGTGGCTGCTTCCTTCTCTGTCGTTTTTTTTGGACTCTTCGCAAAACAAGGTAACCTCAGCCCCCGAAATTTGTGGGCTGTAGAGCCTCACAATCTATTGCCAGAGAGTCTGGGCAGTTAGTTCAGCGATGCATCTAGCCACAATTTTACGGTCAACCTGCCATAAATCTTACAGCAACTATGTTCAGAATAGTCGGAGCATGCCCCCAGTGGGGAGTTTGTAGATGTATGGATGCCCAGTGGGCAGTTTGTACATGTATGTCTGCAACTTTCATTAGCAACTTTTTTTTTTCCAGCCGGAGCTGGGGGCTGGGGCAAGTTGCCTTGCTGTGAAATCCAGCAGGTTGGGGGTGTGACGGCTGGAAGAGCTTGGCAGAGAATAGATAGCTTTGGTGGTTTTCGCTTTGGGCTGTGGGATAAACCCTCGGGCTTCTGGGTTTTCGGATGGTTTCTGTGGGCTCAAAGATATTCCAGTTTGTTGTTCCATGATCCGTTTTCTCAGCCAAAGCCGGGTAATGGCGGGGTACCTCATTTCTATGTAGACAAATTTCACATGGGATGCTGGGCCCGGTTCGCAGAACGTGCTGCTCCCCACCAATAGATGGGAGCCTTGTTCTCCAAAAAGAAAAAGAAAAGAACAAGCCCTTTTGCATTTCAGTTCTGTGCAGTCCATGGGCCTTGCCCCACTACTCACCACATGCACAAAAGACAAAAAAATATGGTGGTGCCCCCCGCCACTCACCACATGCACAAAAGACAAAAACTATGGTGTTTTTTTTTTTTTTCTTTTCTTTTTTTTTAACCACTATTACCTGTGCCACGTGGGAGAATAGCGGGCCTCGGGTGGGCCTCCAACCTTTTCGGATGGCCGAAACGAAACGATCACCGCCAATCAGATTTATCAATGGCAGCCGTCGTCGGGCCCGACCTCCAAATTTTCAGGAGTTTGAAAAAACTGCCAGTTTTTCCTAAGCCTTTTTTGTTGTCATTATAGTATTACGGGGAACCCCGTAGCAGCCACATCCGTGCTCAAGCCTCCAACGAGGCAACAAGCGGGAGCTGCACCCGCCAGCAGGTGCGACACCTGCTACAGCAGGTGGGCGATAGCTCCCACCCACCAGCAGGTGCGACACCTGCTACAGCAGGTGGGCGATACCAGCCAGGGGTCCGGTAGCATCATGACCGAGCTTCTTTGATGGGCCAGTCACTGTGCCAGTCACTGTGCCTCCCCACTGGTCCCCTCCCCCTATGAACATCAGCAGTCTCTGCTCAATGCCACTGGGGGGACCACTGCATATCTCTAGGTGGCGGGCGCCAAGCTTGCCCAGGAAGGTGCATGAGGCCAATGGGGATTGAACCCAAGACCTCTTGAATGCCACTTGTGTGCCTTACCAACTGAGCGAGGCCGCTGGATCCATGTTCTAGCGGATCCAATCTCATTTTGGACATTTGGTCAGTAGTGGGGCGACGGCCCATATCCAAGTTGAACACCAACTAGAAAAGGGGGGGGGAATTGAAAAAAGGGGCACCAAACATAGAGACAAGCTTGCTTTTTTTTTTTAAAGCACGATGACCTTGAGGTATTATCATCGGACTAACCAGCCCACGTAAATTCAATCTTGTGTCTAATCTGACACCGGGTGGCCTTTATTTATTGCCTTCCTGGAACCCCCAGTGGGGGACGCCGGCCAGGGGACATCCGGTAGCCGAGGGACCGAGCATCTGACATCTGAGTGGCCAGTCGCCGTGCCTCCCTCCCTGATTACCCCTCCCCCTATGAACATCAGCAGAGACTGCTTTTTAATGCCCATTGGGGGGACCAACGGGCTATCTCTAGGTGATGGGGGGCAAGCATGCCCAGGAAGGCACATGAGGCCAGTGGGGATTGAACCCAAGATCTCCTGAATGCCACTTGCGTGCCTTACCAACTGAGCTACGCCGCTGGATCCTAGAGGCAAGCTTGAACCTGCACTTCCCTCAAAAAAAATGCATACGTTCTATTTGTAATGGAGGACGCGTATTCCACAGTGGTGCGACGAGGAGGATGACGAAGAGAGAGGCAGGGAGAGGAAGGGGGGGGGGGGGGGGGGGGGGGGGGGGGGGGGGGGGGACGGGCGGGGCAGTAAGTAAAATGGGAGTAAGAAGCAGGGCAAGGAAGGCGAAGACAAACCGGAAGCCAAGGAGATGGTCGAGGCACAGGATAACGAGGAAAAGAAGAAGAGTTCAAAAAAAAAACAGAAGAGTGAAATAGAAAAGAGAAGAAGAATAGGACGAAGAGAGATAAGCAGAGGTTCCGATCAGGTAAGAGGAGAAGGAAGAAGAAAAGGAGTGTGGAGTGGAGAAAATAAAAGAGAAGTGCGAAGGCGGAGGAGAGGATGAGGAGGAGAGAAAAGAACAGAGAGCAGGAGGAATGCAGAGGCGGCAAACACGTAAGGGGACGAAGAGGACTACTAGAAAGGAGCTCGAGGAGGAGGAGCGGGAGGAGGAGGAAGAACAAGGGGAAGGTTTGAAAAAGATAGTGGAGGAATGCGAAGATGAATAGGATGTCAACGAGGAGACAGAAGAGGTAGAACCGGAGAAAGGAGAGGAGGAGGAAGAGGAGACGAAGAGGGGAACAGGAAGAGGAGAGGAAGAGGGGGAGGAGGAAGAGGAGACGAAGAGGGGGAGAAGGAAGAGAATGATGCAGGGAAAGAAGGAGAGGAAGAAAGAAGAGGAAGAAAAGAGGAGTGGGAGATGCACAGAATGGAGGAGAGGACGAAAGAGGAGGAAGAAAAGAGGAGAGGGAGGAGGAGGAGGTCGAAGAAGAAGAGGAAGCGGAAGAGGAAGAGGAGGGAGAGCAGGAGGTTAAGGAGGAGGAGGAGGATGTTATTTCTTAAGCGAATCTTGGTTGAACTTGAGTTCGCTCATGAGTCGGTCAAACCAACCCTGTCCAGCTTTTGACCCCTTTCGACCCTTAAGGATTTCCTCAACCTTGCGATACTCTGGCCGGTCGCTCAACACTGCCACACAATCGACCTCTTCTGGTCCCGTTACTACGAACACCTGCCAGCCATCGGGATACCTCCTCAAGATACGGACTTCCTCCCCTAGAATCCGCAGCTGCTTGAGAAAATAGGTAGGTGTGAAACTCCCCACGAACGCTTCCGCCGCCCTTTTCTTGGCGCCAAAACCGAAGTCGGACACCACTTGCCCGCCCTGCCACTGCGCATTGACGAGAACCAAGGGCTTGTGGTCCCCTCCTCTGCTGGCTACTTGCTGCACTTCCGGCAGCGTTTCTGCTGTAGGGAACACCACAGCAGCTACCTCCTCTCTCTCCCAAAGTCCGACCGCATCACCTTCGTCCAGCATCAATGGGCCATAACCAATACCACCACCTCCTCCTCCTCCTCCCCCCCCCCTTTCTCCTCTTTCCTCCTTCCTACCGCTGCCGCTTGTCAGACCCTGCAGCAGGGACTCGACTATGGGCTCTGCCGCGCGAAACTGCTGTTGAATCCCCCCAGGCCAATCGTCCAGATCGGTGGGCCCGATCAACGGTAGAAGGATCTCGACTTGCAACCGTGTCAATCCGTCGGCTATGGCGGCCTTGCAGGCACCGATGGCCTGATCAACGCTCTCCTGGGATGTTCGAGGTAGGGGCCATTCCCTGCTGCTGCGCGCCGCCCTGTCGGCGGACTGGCCGGCGCTCGAGTCCGCCGCCGCGGACATCCGGGAGCTCAGCCGATGCCAAGTGACAGGCAAATTGCCGGCACTTCGCGAGACAGTCCCCACCTTTCCCGCGCTTTTTCCCGAGCCGCCAGGAAATGGCGCCAAATCACCACTACGGGTAGTGACGGAATAACCGACCGTCGAGTCTCTTGGCCATAGTTGCGCGAGCTCGGCCCGGGGTCGTTGGTGCGCGCGCGAGCTGCGCCTCAGGACAACATTTAGCGCATCCTTGCCTTGGCCACAAGCAGGACACGTGGCAAGACTGAGCGCCATTCTTGATGCTCACGTGGCACTGGGGGGACGAACTCGCCGGCTCCACACGTGTCTGTTTGCGGTGCCAATCGAAGGTTAGGCTACCATCTCGCCCAAGTCGCGGGCATGTATACCCCCCCACGTAATTAGAGCAACCCCTCTCTCATCCGGAGGCAGCCGATTTTTTGGATGCCACTATCTCCGGACCTGACCTGACGTGGCGAGCCCGAGCAGACAGGTACCATACCAGTTCTGGCAGCCCAGGAGGGGGAAATCCGAACTCATGGTGGTCACCAGTTTGGGAAATAAGAGGCCCTACGGATGGGCCTCAGTGGGTACGGCAATTCGCAGCCCTAAGCTGCCGTATAGTGGGCTTCGGCGTCTGTGTCAAGGTGTCGCATTTTTGGCGGCGGGCGACCAGGACGCAAGTGGGTTTTTCGGGGGCAAAAAAATTTGGGGGACCGGTCCTTGGCAAAATTGCGGACTACCTACAGCCAGCTCTGGTAGAACTGGGACTTTTGAAAAAACGAGGGACCGGTCCTCGGGTGGAAGTGGACCCCAAAAAGAAGTGGGGGCATTGGACCGGTCCTCGGGTAGAAGCGGACCCCCAAAAGAAGTGAGGGCATGTGATCTGCAAGAGGCAACTTCGGCGATTTTCTGTGCTCAGACGAACATGCACAAAAATCTGAAATTTTGAGAATCCATAGAGGAGGTCGTGTTCTTTCCAGAAATAATAATAGAACATTTACAAAAAAATCATTTAGACTGCGAAATAATTGTCGCGCCGATTCAGCACATTTTCCATTTTGGCCACTCAGCCATGCCTGGGCCAACTAAAAAGTACTCCAAATTCAGTGAGTTTTCGCGCTCAGAAGAATGCGTGAAAAAACCTGAAAATTGGAGTACTCGTAAATTTTGTTGTGATCTTTCCAGGAAAAATGCTACATAAATTTAAAAAAATCATTCCAACTGCGAAATAGATTGCGGCCGCAATTTGACCCATATTTCAATTTTGACATTCAATCTCTCTCTCTCTCTCTCTCTCTCTCTCTCTCTCTCTCTCTCTCTCTCTCTCCCCCCCTCCCTCTCTCTTATCATCTCTCTCTCTCTCTCTCTCTCTCTCTCTCTCTCTCTCTCTCTCTCTCTCTCTCTCTCTCTCTCTCTCTCTCTCATGACGTTGCGTCACTTCAAGAGTGCGGGTTATGAGAGAACCAAGACCTTAACGATTATCGGAACTTTTCATCGAATGATAGCTAACACATACGAGATGGCGGATCTACCGCCCGTGATTGACCTGTTCGGACGGGAACTCCAACTCATGGATTACCCATGGAGAATAACCCTCGCCGCGATACTTGCGTTCATCCGAAACTGCAGGGACGCGGACGTCCGAAATAAATTCCAGGAGTATCTGGAAAAGCAAGAAGCACCAAATCGACGGATATAAAACTGAAAGTCCCGAATAAATACGTCAAGAAATTCACACGACTCGGAATATAAAGCTAAAATCACAAATCGAAAAATCAAAAATCAAAAATCAAAAATATAATTTTCCACGAAATGAAAATAAATTTTCATGGACGAAAAAGAAACATACACGACTAAGTACCCCGGAATATCACGGAATTTCTGCACATATAACGACGTAACAGTGTCGCTCACATTTCCAAACATACGAAACAAATAGAAGATGAAAGACCTAAAGCAGTGGAAACGAACCAATAAAGAAAAAGTACTCACCTGGGAATGAAGGAAAATCCACGGCCATGAAAGTAAACAAGAACAGAACAACAAACAAGGACATATTCGAGTCAGTATAAAAAAACAGCGGAGTTATAGGCAAGTACCATAGTAAGACGGAACTCCGACAGAGAGGAGAGTACGTGATTAGCACGCACAAAATCATTAGATATGATGAAAGTAACTTCAGATTGAAGATTGAAGGCATGTTGGAAATCGACGACGACAAGGACAACACAGAGAGCGACTGCGGGAGATCTTGAGGATAGATGATGAGTACACTGCAAGGATAGAGAAAGTGGCGGAGAAGGACTGGGAACGAAGGGTATAAATATTGAGGATAGTGGCTGAAATGATTACATGAGCAGTGAGGTAGAAGGGTAATCGTGACTGGTGTCGCATGCCATGGACATTAGGTGTATGCTGTGAAAGTAAAACCTCGCACGTTCTGTCTACATTTGCATGTGTATGCTGTGAAAGTAAACCCTCGAACGTTCTGTCTACATTTGCATGTGTTTATCTCTATGCACGGTGCTTAGAACTTGCGGGCGGTACCCACGATGATTGACACTGTATAGACCTGTCACTCTTCCATTTTACATTCACTGTCTTTATCTCTCTCTCATCATTCGTAACCCTTTTCTTTCATGATATCATAGTGGCAATTTGTTGGAGATTACTATAGCGTGGATATTACTCAGCGATTTTTGGAGATTCTATTTTACTTATCTGGTGTGTACTGAAGACAATCAACGATGTTGTGGGGTTTTTTATCGATTTCAAGTACGAAGACTACCTACCTGACGTTCCCAAGCTTCAAGGAAGATGTCGCGTTCGTGATCATCGTCGGACAGGAGGCGGCACAGACACTCATCATCATCTTCCGGATTTCAAGGCAGGAAGCGCTCAAGAAGGGGGAGATCGAAAACTCCGAGAGATAGAAGACATAAGTCAAGATCACCATCGTCACGGAGAAGAAGGGCGGAGTCAGAATCTCCAAGGTGGTTCTCGAGACAATCATGGGAGCAAAGACGGAATGATTTCCCCCCACCAGGAAATCGAGCGTGGTTTACGGCGGATCTAAAGGAAGAAATCTTTAAGCTCCGGCGGGAGATGGACAAAGTTATCAAGGCACTGGAACAACTGACACGAAAAACAAGTGAAAAGCAGCCAGCTCCTCCGAACAAGGAAGACACTGCAAAGAAGCCTGAGCTAACTCCAGATGCGCTCAAGTCCATCATTGATGAAGCAATGAAGCCGACAGTGATGAACCAAGGGGGACACAATCAAGTTGGTCCAAGCGCAACTGGTCAGAAGAATGCAGAGGCGGAAGATAAAGTAGAAAGGATGGTATCGGAAGTGCAGAAGGAGGTCAACAAGCTGAAGCTACCAAAGTATGATCTGGCGGTTGTGCAGAGCGCGTTGCAGAAGATCAATGAACCGGCTCGTACCTGCACTCCGATCGTGTCGTCTTCGGTTCATCCGAACGGATATGTGGGGAACAATGGCAGGACTACCAACTTCAGTACATGATAGCCACAACATTCCGAGCTGAAGCATGCCAAGCAGAAGCGCACCGAACAAAAGCAGATTGGGACGCGTAATCCCTCCACACCCCAAGAGAGGACGAACGAAGATTAACCGCAACATGTCGGCAGCGAAGTCGAAGGCAAAACGGAACATTAATTTCGGGGTCGAACCGATGACGGACATGCAGCTCCTTCGTCTTTACTACACGGACCTGAAGGTCTTATGCAAGATGCATGACATCAGGTACAAGGACAAGCTGCAAACGATCTCGGCATTGAGGCAAGTTCCTGGATTGATCGCCTACAAGGGGCGGAACTTCAACCAGGATTCTGATCTTGAAACACAGATTATGCCAGATCCAGATAATATCAGAGTGTCCAATACAACTGGCGGCGACACAAGTGAGGATGATTACGAGAGTCTTAGTACAAGATCAAGCGGTCCCGAGTGATGAGTATGACTCATCCGACACATCTTCGAGCGTCGAAGATCTGTCGAGAAGGTAGAAGACACCTCAGCATTAGGCGACCTCACCACGACACAGAAGTGGGAGCAGATATACAGGCTATCAACGTAAATTGAGCAACTAGTTAGTATAGGAAGTTTCACCTTGGTGTAGACATATGTACGTGGGAAGGACAAGAAGAAAGCCCGACAAGAGATGGACTGAACACATAAACTTGGCCAAGAATCCAAATAGAGGAGCACAGCGGAAACTATACAGTTGGTCGCACAAATTTGGTTGGAAAAAATATGTTCTAATACCCATTTGGACGGGAGTGAGATCAGAGGTGATAGGGATGGAAACAACACTGATTAGGAGACTGAATTCATTCTTGAATACAAGGGGAAAAGGCAGAAAGACTCGGAAAAACCGAAGACGGAAAAGGAGGAAGAGGAAGAAGAATGGAAACAATGAGGTGAATTAGAATATACCTATTTTGTTTAAATCAGTTCGATCGGGTTACACTACGAATGTAGCATCAATACTTCAACCGAAAGCAATGATTTACTACACAGTTGGAAAGCTATGGAATGAAAAATGAAAAGTAATTAAACAAACATTCGGATCAACAATTGTGGAAATTGACAACACAAAGTTCCAGCTAAAAAAATGCAGAAAACGAATCGAAAATGGATGTATCTTCTATGTGATCCAACATGTGCATACAGGACCGAAAACAAACAAATATAGAAATATTCTGATTAACTGCTTGAGGGCACCATGAACATGGAGGGAACTGTATAAATTATCGTTAGATGATATACTGATTCTTCTGTCAAAGGTGGGATCGATTACCGGAAAGAAGCAAAAACGAACAATTAAAGGCATCTTCACACAAATTTCAAAGAAAAAGTTTGCATTCAATATCAATAGAAGACTGATATTTAAGATTTCATTTGATGCATGCATTAATCTGAAGCAATTGAAAAACTGAATAACCGATTCTATCTTGGAAAACGTAAGTAATAACAATTTGGCAAACGATTTGACAGCTTGGATGCGTGTGATGTTTAAAAAATCAAAGACAATCGGAAAAATATTACACAATCACATACAGGTGTTTACATAAGCACCGGACTGTAATTGTGCAGTATCCCGACTTCCAAAAATTGAGAACCACATTGTCTGCAGATTAAGTGAAATCACAAAAAATCAGCTCTTGTGGAATGCAAAAAACGTACCCCATATGAACGAAAGAATTGGAAAGGAAGAAATTAAAAGGACAATCATCACTACAATTGCAAGTATACCATGACCAATAAGGAAGAAAAGAGAAATTAAAATAGATGTCTCTACTTGCATCGAAAATAATAATGATATGGAGATTTTT